AGAGAGAGAGAGAGAAAAGCTGGGGATAGTGAACAGGAAGGACTTAGGGTAGAAGCAAAAGGAGAGAGCCTAGACGGGGCCGCTGTCCACCGCTCCCCTGGCTGCAAGTCTCGTGGGGACCCTTGGCGTTTAGGAGTTGCACGCCTGAGAAGAAGGTGTGGGTGTGCTCCGGGGTGGGGTGGGAGCACACTATGAGGCCTCTTGAAAACTGGACTTTTCTTTCGCCTAGCCTTCCCAAATCTCAACGTCTACTGCAAATAAGCACATCATAAACGTCACTGCAACCCTATTTTTCACGATGGGGATCTGGACTCTAACCTTAGCTCTTACTCAAGACTCTGAGCGAATGGTCAGCTTCTCCACTGTGGTGCCTCATCTCTGGAGTGTGGTGAGTGTTCCATCACAGAGCGTAGCAAGGGCCCTCGACAGCAGACAGGCAGCTTGAGAACATGAAAGCAGAGGCAACAATGCACGTGGACAGCACCCTCAGTGTTCACGTCACCACGTGGCCTTCCCAAGGACCAGGTGGCACCCAACCAGCCGAACTGCCCTGAGTCAGAAGCAGACCTGCGAGACCCAGAAGAGGTGCTGGTCTGTGTGCACCTCCTTCCCCAAGGCCGTCAAGGCTCAGCACGGGCCTGGGCCCAGACTTCACCCTTCAGAGTGCTGCCGGGAGCACTGCACTTAGGAAGGGCAGGCAGGCTCAGGGCGGACAGCTGAGCAGCCCAGCAGACAGGAACTACTTGTGAAACTCTTGGGTCAGACAGATAGCAGCCAGAGCCTCTTGGGTCAGCAGACAGGGAAAATGGGGAAGAAGCAGAGTTCTCAGCTACAGCCTGGGACCAGTCATCTGACTCATGGGAACAGAACGGCTATCATGTGACGAGTCAGCATCCGCTGGTCCTGATGAGATGCTGGGAAGCAGCGTGATGGGGCGACAGAGAGACCTAAAGGCCTCAACCCCAATCAAGTCCTCAAGATGAGACACACTTGCCCTGGCTGGTTTTGCTCAGTGGTTAGAGCAGCGGCCCGCAGACCAGAGAGTCCCGGGTTCAGTTCCTGCTAAGGGCACGTACCTCAGTTGGTTTGTCCCCAGCCCTGGTTGGGGTCGTGTGGGTGGCAACCACTCGATGTGTCTCTCTCACATTGATGTTTCTCTCTCTCTTTTCCTCCCCCTCTCCCTCTCCCGCTATCTGAAGATAAATGCAAGATAAATGTGCTTGGGTGAGGATAAAAAAATAAATTAATTAAAAAAAAAAAGATGATACACACTTGACTTTCTTACCTAACACCTCTTTAAAAACAAACGGGTTATTATGGATCTTCTCAAGTTCTACTAAAACATGGGTCTTGTAGCCGTTTTACTCATCCAGGCTCATTCTGGAAGCCAAGCTGGTAAAGACACATTTCAACAGGTTTCTAGCATCTGAGTGGGTGATTGCAAACATCCATAACTCTCAGTGAGCAAAGAGAGGGTGCACCAGAGAGTCGTTTGGGGGCCAGGGAAGGTGGATTTTCCAACATCAGTATTGCAATACCCGAAAGGCACCGGCAACCCTAATGGTTACCAAGAGTCCCAGTCATACTTTGGTCAAGAGTTAAGAAGAATATGGACTCACTCCATATTTAAGAGTTGTAATACTTTGCCCTGGCCAGTTTGGCTCAGTGCTTAGAGCGTCAGCCCACGGACCCAAGAGTCATGGGTTCAAGGGCACATACCTCGGTTGTGGTTTGATCCCTGGCCCTAGTGGGGGTCATGGGGGAGGCAGCCAGTTATGTGTCTCTTTCACATCAATGGATGTTTCTCTCTCTCTCTCTCTCCCTCCCTCTCTATCTGAAAAAACATCAATGGAAACATACCCTCGGGTGATGATTAAAAAAAAGATTTGTACTACCTAGGGTCAGGATCAGAGAAAATGCAAGCCAGAGAAGGGCCATGACAAGGAGAGGGCACATAGGACGTCCATGTGGAGGGGAGGGGCCATGCTGGAGGGACCAGAGATGGAGTGGAGGCAGGCACTGGGCGCAGCAAGAGCACGGGCCAGGAAAAGGGACCCAGCACCATGCCAGTGCCCTACGGGGCAGGCACATCGAGGCCCTGCAGAATTAGAACAGGACAGGGCTGTGGGGCCGTCTCCTGGCCCAGGGAGGCTACCCCCAGCTTTCCACCTCTCTCCTGCCTCACAGTCACCCACTTCCCCAAACACCCTGTTCTGTCAGACTGGCCGTAGTGCCCGATGCTCAGGCCTCCCAGAATGATGGCACATGCCAGGAAGGGAAGGGTGTCTGCGGCCTGGGGGGTTAGCACTTCCATGCAATTAGACAGCAGGCAGACCCAGTGGGCAATGCCAAGAGGAGGCAGGGCAGCGCCCAGGAATGAAGTGGAAAAGGCCCGGGGCACAAGGGCGTGCAGTGGGGAACTGGGAAAGCCTGGCCTGGCCCAAGGTCGTGTCGGGAGGCAGAAGCTCAGGAAGCAGCTGGTTTCAGAGAAGGTGCGGGGATGGCTGAGGACATGTGGAAGGGCTGGCTACTGTCACTACCCTTCAGCAGCTGTCCTCTGATCTGAGTCCTGAGCGCTCACACTCGAGGGGACCTTCCAGAATGTATGGGAGGCTCTCTAGCCCTGCCCTCAAGCAGGACTCTGGGTGTGGACAGTCTCGGGCTTGCTTCCCCTGACTTTCAGGTCCCTGACATCCTAACTGTCCTGCAAGCCAGAGCTGTAGTGCTACCCACCCACGGAGCTCTGCCTGACTCTGTCCTGTGTCACGGCCCATGGGCTCCCGGCTGACTGTCGGTACCTCTCAGGACATTCCTCACACCCGCCCTGTGCACAAGTCCCCTCGTGCTCGTCTCATTCTGACTCACAAACTGCAAGCGTTGTTCAAGGATGACAGCTGCCCCGCTCGCTCTGGACCCTTCCTGCTGCTCGACATACACCAGGACAGGCCCTGCGCTTGCGGGGTCCCTGGAAGAGTGGACAAGAACGCTTTCCCAGGGCCCATCTGGGGGCACGAGGGCCCATCTGGGGGCACGAGGGACCATGGAGAGTGCGGTGTGACAGTGGACCAGGTGCAACTGCTCTCCCTGCAGGCCACTCCCGAAGCGCCTAAGCGGGGTGGGGGGTGGGGGGTGGGGAGTGGGGGGGTGGCCTTCCCCTCCACAAAACAAAGCACCTGCCTGAGCTCCCACCCTCAGGCTTCTTTGTGGCGCTGGTACGGAGCATCTACCGAGTTTCTGATGCTGGATGTCTCCGCCTCCCCTCACACCCAAACTTAATTAAAACGCCCTAAATTTTCCTTCATTCTGTAGCAAACAGTCCAGTTCACTGACAGTCCTGAAACCCGAAACGGCTCAAAAAGGATATTGTAGATACTCTTAACCTGTTAACTGGGGAATAACCGGGGAATCCCCTTTTCACTGTATGCAACGTTTGACGTATTTATACGTCCCGCTCGGTTAACAGGTTAAGATAATTCACACTTACTTTCTGTTCATAGAGAAAAAAAATACAGTCGAGAGCTGGGACTGTCTGAAGGCCGAGTGTTGCACTATCTGTGAAAGGAGCCTGCCAGAGGGCCCGCTAAGGACGCGGCGGCTGTCCCCGGGGCTGGGGCGGGCCGGGAGGGCGGGAAGGGGTGCTCGGCCTCTCCATGGCAAGTGTAGGGATGCGGAGGGCTCCACGAAGCTAGGGCTGGTACCCAGAGGAAGAATGCACTCCAAGGTCCTCACCACTGCCAGGTCCGTCTTCCCTGGCACCGGACAGTCTCCAGAGGAACCTGAACGTCGCTGGGGCGAGCTCACCGGTTCAGAGGGAGCGGGAAGTCCGAGCTGTCAGGCCATTTGCCAAGCTCTCCCGTACAGAGCACAGCAGAACCAGCGCTCGACTCCAGAACTCCAGGAGCACGAGGAAGAACGAAGTTCACTGTGTGCCTGGCGCTTTCCTATGAATTTACTTAATCCTCACGTTCACAAACTAGGGGCGAGTAAAAGCATGACCCACAGGAAGGAGACAGAGGCTGGGGAGGACGAGCGAGTCACATGAGGACAAACTGGCCACAGTGGAGCCCAGTGTGGCTCCTTTCCGAAGTCCTCCCCCACTGCTCACTTTCACTTGGACAGAGATTAAACGGAACGGTGGCCGTTTAGGTTTGGACAGAGCAGATTCCAGTGAAGGACAGCAGCCCAGCCCGTGCCTTGTTTCAGAACACTGTTTACAAAAATGGCGGCGAACATTCCCTCTGCCAGCAACTCCCACCAAGAGCAGACCCACTGCCCTGTCCCCGGAACCCGGGCTGGCCCGACAGGCTGAGAGAACGCAGTGGAAGTGACGAGTGCCAGTTCCGGGCCAGGTATTAAGATGCCGTGCACGCTTCCATCGGTTTCCCGGGAACCCTGCCAGCGCCCGTGAGCAAGCCCAGGCTGGCCTGACGGAGGCTGACGGATCATGTGGCTTGCGGCCAGCCCAGTCCAGCTGTCCCAGCTGAGGTTCCAGGGCTATTAGCAAGTCCAGCCAAAGTCAGCCTGGCCAGGTCTGCACCATCGCCCTAGCAACCCGTGTCCTCAGCAATGAGAAAATGGTTATTGTTGTTTGAAGCCACTGAGTTTTGGGGTGGTTTGTTACACGGCAAAAGCTAACTGATACAGCTCTCCAACTCAAACGCTCTCATGCCCTGGGAGAGCCTGCTCTCTTGGCTTTGCTTCCTCTGTGAGGAACATTCTGTTAACCACAGCATCCTCAAGGGCTGGCCTAGGGCAGATGAGAACAAAAAGGCTGGAGCCCCTGCAGTTCATGCCTGAGTGACACGCTGGAGTGCAGTGTGGAGCCACCCTCTCCCCGCCCTGCCCTGCCCCGCCCCTCACAGTCCTCCCGCACAGAGGACCATCCTGCACACCCTATCCCACCTGGTGCAGGGGTCTGCAAAAGGAAAAGCAGTGATGGGCTATAAATGAAAGGTCACATTCACCAGTTTCCACGCAAAGAGCGGCGGGGAGCAACTCACCGAGGGCACAGGTAAGTTGCCATGCCGGCTGAGAAAGGAGTTAGAGACGGACACACTGATGCCCTGAGTGGCACTGCCGTCCTCGGGGGTGAAGGCCACTTTAGTTTGCTGGACACAGTAGGAGACAGAGGAGAAGGAAGAAGCAGCATAAGAGGCCTGCTGGACAGAGGAGGAGAGAGGACGGGAAGGAGGGAGAAAAGCAGAGAATAGTCAGGCATGTATCAAAAGGCTACGAAGGCTGCAACCTAACTGCTCGAGCATTCTGGAGGGATGGCTTCTTGGCTCAGATCAGGGATCAGAGACACTACTAAGGCTACCTGGACAAGTGGGCACCCTCCTTCACTTCCTTACAATAGACTTAAAACTAACTTTCACACGAATCCGTGTCCACTGGACTTGGTGGTGAGGGGAGGGAGGCCAAGTGGGTTTGAGCCCGGCTTTCCCACTTAGGGCACTCAGTTCCTCCTCAGTGGGTGTAGACCGAAGACCAGGAGCCAGGCTGCCTGGGTTTGAATCTGGGCCCTGCTGCAAGTGACCTGTTTGACCTTGGGCATTACTTTCAGGTCCCTGGGCCTCAGGCTTTTCATCTGGAAAATGGGGATAATACCATGCAGGACTATGTTCACGCAAAGCACTTAGAACCATGCGTTCCACAGTGGCCCAACAGGCATGAGTAATTATTACTCCCACTTTTGCTGGTAAAATGGGTAACACTTGTGAGCCTGCCTTTGAGAGGGTGTGCCAAGCAGCTGGCACAGGGCATGTCACACAGTGTGCCTGGGCTTCATCAGACTTGGTCTCTGTCCCTGGCTCTTCCACTTCTACTGGGGGGCTTGAGGAAGTCTCTTCAGCTCTCTCAGCCTCTGGTCACTGGAAGTGGGGATGATGGGTGCTGTGGTGAGGTGGTGGGGAGGCACAGAAAAGCCCGGTGCATGGAGGTGCTCTAGCGGCAGCCTGCCCTGCTCCCGGGCCCCACTGGGCTCTCCCCGAGCTCCCCTCACGACGCCCTGCCAGCATGGTGAGGCCCAGGGAGCTCTCTGACCTCAAACATTCAGAGGCCTGTGGCTCCATGGTACAAAGATGCCTAAGCACAGCTGATGGGCTGAGAAGATTTCCAATCTCAGTGAACTACGAGTCTAGCTGTTAAAGCAAACAGTTTAGATTTGGGGGTCTCTGGGTAGACATGAGATCCGAGGAGAAGATCCCCTTCTGTAACGTTTTCAGAGCAATTTACATTCATATTCAGGCATGTTCAGGCTCTCACAGGGTGAGCAGCACAGTTAAGAACTGAGACTCTGAGCACAGCTTGTGAGACATGGCTAGTTAGTAGTAGGACTGGAAGCCACGCCTCCCAACTCCAAGCTTCGCCTTTCCTTTACCAGATAGGCTGTCTCCCTAAAGGCAGGCTGTGGTTCTGTCTGGTCGGCCCTGAGCCCAAGGAATGTAGGAAGGCTCGAGAACTCCTCGGGCTGGGCATGGGCTCGAGCCCCAGGTGGCTGCGAGGAGTAACCCAGGGACCTTTGTCCTACAGTTGGCAGCTGTATCCCAGAAAAGTCAGGGCAGCACCTTCAGGTCCTCTAGCAAAGGATAAAAGAAGGCCGAGCTAGCCACGCGGGCCCCTCTTTGGTTAAAGCACTACCAGACTGGCCAGCCCAGGGGCCAGACGGCACGTGCGGCCCTGAAAAGGACAAGACCTGGGGGCTCTTCCTGGACAGCAAGGCTGATGGGATGCTTGGATTCTAGAACCTGTCCAGAATCTACCTGGTCAGCAAGCTGGTAGCCCAGAGAAAAAGAAAAGGTTTAGAAGCGCGAAGCAGGCACACCGCTGTGCCTCCCACCTGGCCCTGGGCTCTCCCAGGACAGCCCGCCCTGAGCTCGCCGCCTGTGCGGAGAGCCTGCGCAGGTGTTCTCTGGAGGAGACGGTGCCGTGCCTGAATCACAACGTGGCTGTTTGGAGTCCTCCTACCTCAACAAAGCGTGTTTTCACCGGGGCATCCCTGGCCAGGGCAGGTGTAAGTCACTCTATAGTTAGGCCCATTATGTAAATCAAGTCCACAGAAGGCCCTACACAGACCATGCCATGTGCTTTGATTGAGTCCCTCCTTTCTGGGAGGTCTATATTAGAGCCAAAGAAGAGGGAAAAAAATGCAAGACACTGTCAGCAGAGAAAGCAAACATTCTGAGTACAAGCCAGACCCAGCTGCGTGGGGGAAAACGGCAGCCTCTCCCGCAGGGTGGGGAGCTCAGAGCAGAGGACAGGCTGCACTGAGCTGCTCAGGGGACGTGAAAGCCCCACATGGGAGATGGCAAGTTCCACACCAGCCAGGGCCCAGCCCAGAAGAAGGGAGGGTTAAAGGCACCCCCGGGGAGGTTCTAGCTCCTAGAGGCCTGTCAGGATGGAAGCTTTGGTCACCATGGTAGCAGAGGGGATTGGGAGGGGCCGCTTACCAGCTGCCGCTGCTTGGGAGGCAGGGCGGGGGGCGGCGCCAGCTCCTGTGGGGCGTCCGTGCTGCTGAAGGAGTCGTTGAAGCCATACACCTCCATGAGGAGCTTGTTCTTCTGCTGGTACACATGTTCGTTCTGCGGCGTCTGGTAGAACACGGACGGCTGCGGCTCCGAGTAGTCCTCCAGCAGCTGCATGTAGGCCAGCACTGCGGACAGAGAGCAGGCAGCCTGCTTCTGCACTGCAGAGCACGCTGGAGGCCCCCACTGGCAGCAGGGGCAGCGAGACCACCCTGTGTCACACTGCAGCGGTGGGCACACATCCAAAAGCAGTGCACGGACACCGAGAGTGAGCCCCGCCAGCTGTGGGATCTGGGCGACAGTGCCATGTCAAGCATGGGGGGCAGAGGTATATGGGAATTCTCTGTACTTTCCGCTCAGCATAGCCGTGACCTTTAAACTGCTCTAGGAAATCGTCTACTTTGGAAAAGCACATGGGGCACTTGGCTCCCTTCCTGCAGAGCCCTCGGGGGATCCCAGGCACTCAAAGGGAACAGGCTGTGTAGGGCTCACGGGGCAACACAGCTGCCCACCCTCAGCCCAGCTCTGCCATCTTCTTCCAGTTCCAGGAACACCCTCAGGGATGTCTGCACGGCTGATCCCACTGTGCTTCCCCACCCTGAGCCGACTCTGACTCTGCCTAACTGCAGCTTCCCCGGCCTCACACGCATAGGAGCCCTGCCTGCCCCTCATTCCTCTTCTCCTTAGCTCTCCCACAGGGGCTTGGGGCTGCCTGGGAGCTTTCCCACTCACCAGATTTTTACCAAGCACCTACTATGTGTTAGGCACTGACCCAGGTGCTGGGACAACAGAGAGCCTAGCAAAAACAAATCCTCGGCCCATGGTGGGTTCACCCCCCCCCCCCCAGGAGACAGTGAACAGACTGAGGTGGAGCAAAGCGCCCTGTGGGGAACAGGAATGGGTGGCGATGGGTACTTGTTAGAACACGGACGAGCTGTGAGGATGGTGATAAGCCTCACACAGAGGCTACAGGCCAGGCGAAGGCCCAGGGCACTGGGTCCAGGTGGGCAGAGCACAGCTGTCGGGGGGACAGTGAAGGAGGTGAGAGGATCACCCGGAGGGGCGGGGCTGAGTGAATGGCAGGAACCCACAGAGGGGTCCCGAGGTGAGCCAGCAGCAGCTTTGTCTTGAGACCATCTGGGGCTGCTGAGGTTGTTTAGGTGAAAGGTCTCAGTGGGGGTGGAGGTTCTGAGAGAGATCTGGTTCAGGGTATGTTTTCAAAGCAGATGCAACAGGATTTACTGCCTCTCACTCAGAAGTCAGAGCTCCAGGAGGGCAAGGACACACGTTGTATCATCAGTGGTAACACACTGTTGTATCATCAGTGGCAACACACGGTGGATGCCCGCAAATACTTGTAGAATGAAGGAATGAATAGAACACATGTCTTCTGGGTGAGACTGAGGTGAGACTTGTAAAGCACCCACTGGGGGTGCAAGAAAGACAGTGACTACAGCACACTCTCCCCTGACAGGGGCAGAAAAGCGCTCAGATCCAGACATATGCATTCTCTCCTCTCCCTGGCTCCTGAGAACCCAGCCTTGCCACTGAGGCCAAGCTGCTGCCTCTCAGTGGAGCTGCCTGCACCAGGGCAGGCTCTCTCGCTTGCACAGGGTGGCAGCACCCCCCGAGCGGCCTCTGAGCAGACAACAGCAGAAACCGCACTTGCCAGGAGGTGAGGAGTCAGAGAACAAAGAGCGCAGCTATCACGCACGGCTCAGTGGCCTCATCCTTGGCCACCTTCTCTGGAGGAAGGGGTGGAGCCCGCAGGACTCACATGGGGCTCCCATGCACACTGTGTTCCTGACTCTCAGTGTTAGTGACCTGAGCCCCACCTATAGAGCCAGGCCCTTCTGAAGACTCCAGAGGGATCTGGGAGAAGCGACAGTTTGGAATGGATGTGCCCAGATGCCTGGCGTGCTTATGGAACTGTGAAGGTTGGGTTGGAGCAGAAGCCCTTTCTCCTACCCCATCCAGCTCTGTGAACTGGATCCTGCCCTTGACATTCCAATGGCAATGTCAAGTCCAGGCCAAGGCAGGCCTGAAATCCCACAGCACCTCCCTGGTCCAGGTGTGGAGGAAGCACCCAGGTGCAGGTGCCTGGGAGCGCAGTGTGGAGGTAAAGGTGCTCTGCCCCCCTGGGTCAGCGAGCATGAGTAATTCACCTGCAGAGCCACTGTGCACACGCTAAGGGGAGTTAGTGGCTACGAGAGCTGCGGAGTAAAAGGGGCCCAGGTTTGTGTGGCCAGTGCAGCAGTGGCAGAGACCTGTCACCGCCCTGAGTGGGTGCTTTCCCCTTGAGTCATGTCACAAGCACCACGAGCACCTGCTAGGTGGAGCCGAGATTCAGATACCCAGAAAATGTGGCAAGAACAATTTTGTAGGGCTTAATTTTGTATTTTCAAACAACTAAAGCCAGGGGCTTAACTGGAGGCCCAGAGCAGTCGGCAGACTGAAGGACAGAGACACTGCGCGGACAAAAGCAGTCCCACGGGCGGGGATGCCCTCCTCTCGCTGCTTCGCTGGGGTCAGGGTGGACAGGGAATGTCTCTCTAGGTGTGTCTTCCTGGCCCTTTCACTGACAGAGGGGGTTCAAAGTCACCTTTATTCAAAAGAATCAGTAAGAAGGTCTTTGCTCCAAGTACTGAGTGGAACCTGTACTTGCCCCCGCCCCGTAAGACTGGCTGCGCGGCTGCTGACAGTGCCGCTCACCACCTCCCTCCGGCACCGCCACGCCTGTTCCTAATCTGCACAACCGGCAACGCGGGTCTACGAAGGGGTCCCGAATGCCTGTCCACTGCTCCCTAAGACTGAATACCACCACCTCCGCCTGACCACAACGGGCAGCTTCAATGAGACAGTCCTTGGAGAGACCTGCCAACCAACACAGAGACACAGAGTGACATTCACAGCCTTCTAGAAATGAGGAGGGTCAGTCCGTTTCAAAGGTAGCCTGGTACAAGGGCTCCAGGACCAGAGTGGCTGGCTTCCCTGGGTGCTCCAGCGGCCCCTGGACTGTGGGCAGACAGGACAGGAAGCTTGTCTGGCACAAGGGCCTTGTGGGGCTGCCCTCGCTAAGAGGGGCTGGGGACCCTCAGGACATCAGACACCTGAAGGACAGGCTGCTCTGTGACACAGGACTGTGCATGGACGTGCTCTGCCTGCATCACCAAACCAAACCTAAGGATGATGATTTCCTCCTCTCCCTCAGTAACAGGGAGGAGTCGCAGGCTGGAGCTCTCCATGGGTCCCTTCAGGAAGTAAAGAGTGAACCTGAGATTAGGACCAAGCCTCAGAGAGCCTCAAGTTTGGGGTCCCTTCGCAGGGCACAGCAAAGGCACAACAAAGACTACCTGCTGTGTGGGTCACCACCTGGATGGGTGTCAGTGTGGGAGCAGGGCAACAAGCTGGGACTACAGGCAGCTCTACAGCCCGGATCTTCTTGCTCTTGGGCAAGGCTCAGGTTTCTTCCTCTGCAAAGTGGGAGCTAATGACACCTTTCCAGGCAGGAAGTAGCGAAGACCGATATGCAGGGTGTGGAAGCTTTAGCCAGGGCATGCCACACCATAAGCTCTCCACAGGTTTGAAAGGTTTGCAGGCACAAGCACAACAGACAGTGATGGATGAAACGAAGCCTAAGTTAATGGAAAACATTTCTGGCCCTGGAGACTTGCAGGACTCCGCCCACACCTGTCCTGAAAGCCCGGCTCCTCGACCAGGCAGCACCACAGATGCAATACTGCCCTGAGTTCTGCGTCCAGAAGATTCCGGAAAAAAAAAGGAAAGGGTGTGAGCCCCAAATGCATGCTACTCAAGGCGAGGGAAGTGGGTGAAGGCAGAGCTCTGACCACTTGCAAGCAGAGGGAGAGGCGCAGGAGCACATGCTCTGGTGTTGCCGTTGGCAGCTCCCTCCACAAGTGCCCTGGTTTCCAATGAGATGTGCACACAGATGGGGATGACATCACGAGCCCCACAGAGCCAGCTCTCTCCCTCCAGCAAGGGGACACAGCAGTCAGGCCATCACACAAGTTGGTGACACCCAGTGAGGACCTGGGGACCCACTGCCTCCTCGGTGGCCACTTTCTTCCACGGCCCACCCGCTGGCCCCTGGACCAGTCCCTGCTGTGGTTAACCTGGCCAGGTCTCCTCTTGTTTGCGAGGGCCCACCCTAGGCAGAGCCAATCAATGCTCTGCTCTCATTGGGGGAACTTGTAATGTAGAAGTTGTCTGCTGGACGCTTCACCTGAGGCCCGGGAACCCTGCGTGCGGGGCTGACATGACCACAGGCACATCTAAATGGCGACAGCAGGTCTGCCAAGGAAAAGGAGGCAGAGCCATGCAGTGAAGTGGGAAGGGGTCAGAGAGGCAGTGTGGAGCAGGCAAGGAGCCGGCAGAGAAGACGATATCCAGCAGAACTCTACTTAGAAGTTTGATGGCAAATACATAGATGAAAATATTCAAAATAAGAAAATCCAAATCATCAGCTCCACCCGAGCCCCAGTGACATCTATATTATAATAACTGGTCCAAGAGGTGTCCTTGGACCGTCTAGATTCCAGGTCATTATGTGACATTTCAGTGCCTGCAAAAGAAGACAGGGGGTGCCTGGATCTCCCTGAACAGCCCCACACTCTGGGCACACGTCCAGGGCCCGAGAAGCCCTCTGGGGCTGCGGGAGCTCTCTTGAAATTGGCACGTCCTTCCTGCTTCACCTACATCTTGTTGTAACGATGCCCTGAAAGCCATTACACTCGTTTTTCTTGGTCACCATGTGCTCAGACCAGAGGGTCAACTGACTGCCATCTACAAGAGGCCAACCCCCGGGGCTCTGTGGAGACAAGTCCTGAGATTTCTCAGAGGCCTTAGAGAGGCCAGCCTATCAGGCTTTAAAGCGATCACTAGCACTGACAAGACAGGGCTCCCCGAAGTGTCCACGCACCTATGGTTCTGTGTGTTATGAACTTAGGAGCACCCTGGTCTGCTTCTGGTCTAATGCTTAAAGAAGACATACCACCAATTTAGGTCTCAAAATGTGCTTCCTGATAGCTCAACAAAGCTTACTGTGTTTGTTTTTCTTCTCTGGTAGAGGAGGCGGTTTTTCTGGGTCACCCGTTGATTCAGGAGCAGCGAAATCACCCATAAATTCGACAGAGGCTGAGGAGCCTCCTTGCTGGAAGGGGAGAATAGCAGCAAAGGGCGTGAAGGGCACCGGCTGGACCGAGGCCGAGCTCTGCAGGTCATCCTCGGAGATGTTGTCGTACTGGGAAGGGTGGCGCTCGTAGGACACCCTGCAGCCAGAACTGTCCGTGGTCTGGGAGGCCGCACTCCTGCGCTTCTTTTCCGGGAGAGCAGGTGGCGTGTCCGTCTGCTGCCCTGGGGCCAAGGGCCCGTCTGGTTGGGGGCAGTTGCTAAGAGGCAACTGGAAAGGATGGCCAAGAAACGAAGATCCAGACTCGCCCAAGGACTCCGGCAAGGGGCTAAGGTTACAGGCTGCTTGCTGAGGTATCTGGTCTGCACTCGAGAGGTCTTGCTGAAGGAATTCGTAGTCAGGATCATAATGATCTGTGTTCATAACAGGAAAGACACACGTCAGCCACAAGACCCCACAGAAAGAAAAGGACCCCACCCCCTGCTCCTGCCCGATCCTTTTCATTACAGTGGGATACAGTGTCTCCCATCTCATCTACACAGGCCGTGCTTTATTTTACATTCTTCATTCTTTTCCCTGCTTGTCAGTAAAAAGACAGGAATATGGCTCTTTGTTATCCTCATTCTTTGTACTTCCCTATAGTTTTTGACTTTCTTAGTTAAAAAGAAAATGTAACCAGCTAGCTCAGTTGGTTAGTGTCATCACATACATCGAAAGGTTGTGGCTTTGATTCTCAGTCTGGGCACGTTCCTAGGCTGTGGGTTCAAGCCCCAGTTGCGGTGCGTACAGGAGGCAACTGGTATCCATGCCCCCACCCCCCGCACCAATCAATAAATATATCCTTGGGTGAGAATTTAAAAGGAAAAAGAACATTCATGATCACTGTAGAAAATGTGACAAAACACACACACATAGAAACATGTCGAAAATCATTTGCAGGCCCATAGTCTAACTGTGATCTCTGTTTACAATTTGATGTATTTCCTTAAAAGTCTTTTTCTCCCACAGAAATCTTCTTTTTTCTTAGCTGAGAAAATACTATGTAAGTGGTTTAGGATTTTGTCCCCTGACCATTAGATCACAATTTACTTTCTTTTAGTTAATCCTCACTTGAGGATATTTTTCCATTGATTTTTACAGAGAGTGGGAGGGAGGAAGAAACACTGATGTAAGAGAGATACATTAATTGGTTGCCTCCTGCATGACTCCGACTGAGGCCAGGGATTGAACCTGCACTCCAGGTATGTGCTCTTGACTGGAATCGAGCCCTCAGCTCTTTGGTTTGGGTACTGATGCTCTAACCGCTGAGCCAAACCGGCCAGGGCAATCCCAGTTGACTAATCTGCCTGATTTCCGCTCGAGCACTCAAATATTCCCAGTCACCGCTAGTCCTAACACTGCCACGATGACTGTCCCTGGACAGCAACCTCGCTGTCAGTCCGGCTGTGTTCTGAAGGGGAACGCTCAGAAGCCCCATGTCCAGTTCACAGACACAGCGGCCTGCCGCTCTTTCAGCCTCTTCAGAACCGTCCTCGCCGTCGAGGGCGGCACGTGCCGCTCACCTGCCTCCCCCGGCAGCAGCTGTCAGGGGCTCCCTCACTTACAGCTCGGAGCACAGATGGCTGTTAATTTTGGCAAAGGGAATCAAATTACACAGGGATAGAGAGCTGCAGTAACAGCTAGCACTGCAGTGTCTCCCCTGTGGTTTCACAGGGTCACTTCATCTCAACTTTCAACCTCCCCCAGAGACTGACTCTAGTATCCTCACTGTGCAGATGAGGAAACTGAGGCCCAGGTTTTGAATGACTGGTGTCACCGTGAAACCCCGAGGAAGCCAGCAGATGAGACAGGATGGTGACGACGCCTGCAGCTCACCTAGTGTTTCACAGCTTGTGTTCCGGGAGCACTGGCCGCTGTCCCTGTCCAAAGAGGACAGCTGCTCGTCTGACCTGCTGAGCTTGCCGATGCTGCTGCAGGGGGACAGGCGGGGCGACTCTCCGCCGTAGGAGTGGCTGCCTCCTGACAGGCGCCTCTGGGCATAACAGTCCCCATCAAAATCCTCGTGTGGAAAATAAAAACCTGAGTCACTTCTGAGAAACAGTGGCAGAGACCAGGGGGGAGGGAATTGGAATGTTACTTTGAGGATAAAATCCTGCCACATTTGAAAACCGGTGGGAAAGGCCCATCTTTGATGTAAGCAATGACATGCCAGGGCTGTGACTTCCAGAGAAGCCTTCAGGAATGCTGGGGCGTGTGGCGGGAAGGGCCCTGGGCTCCAGCCTCTCCGCCCTGTCCCACCCGAGCGTGTGGACTTCTACCACGTCCTGCAGAGAAACGTCACCCCTCCCAGAGAGCTCCTGCAACGGAGCCACGTTTCCACGTCCAGGGCCTTCCTCGCCTTTCCCGAGGAGACTGCATTACCTGCCTATTAATTCCAACAGGCAAACTGGAGCCACTGGTGGCTCGACTCATGGGGGCCACGACGGCCACGCGGGTCGGGGACGGAGCCGACTGCCTCTTCTTCGGTGGCAATGCTGGCGGAGGACTGAAGCAGATCAAGAAATCCCATGAAACCAAACAACCCAAACAAAACTCTTTCAACAGCTATCAGGGTAGAGCATCACTCACTCACTATTAGACACCCACTTTTCACACTGCCAACTCCCGTCCCACTCCCCTTCTGCCAAAACAAACCTATCAGACGTGCCAAAAAACCACAACCAGAGAAACCCTTCCTGTTCCTTCCCTAAGAACCTGGACCAGTTCCACTGCAAAGGCCGAGGAGTATGGGAGCGTGAGGCAAGGGCAGGCACTGGGCTGGCCCGTCCCCCAGAGGCCCGTTCAAGGAAGGTCAGATTTGCAAGGCTTCTAAAAAGCAAGAGCTGGGCTCCAATTTCTCACCCTGAGGGCACTGTCTTCTTTTCAGCTCATTCTACCCATCCACTCATCAAATTATGTCATAAATAGGGGAGGGTGCTAGAAAAATAGAAAATTACCTATTATCAACGACCCGAATGCCAGGCAAGGGGGGCTTGGGGGGCGCGACCTCTTCATCAGCAGAGTCTGGGAGCAGCTCAGTTGACTGTGACGTGCCAGCTGTCTTGCTCAGAATCTCCATCTCTCGATCTGTCAGGGGGAGCTCAGCCTGGCTGAGAATGGCCAAGAACTTGAGGTCATAGGATACAGAGCACATGCCAGTCTGGAGAGGGCTAGGAGGGACCCAGGGCAGGGAGATGCCTTGGGACACACCATGGCTAAGGTGGGCTTCCAAGTCTGGTTTGACCACCAACAAATAACCAGGCCTAGCCAAGTCTCCTGACTCTGCATCTTAGTTTCCTTGTCTGTAAAAGGAATCCTCAAACTAGATGATTTAAAGACTGTTTATGTCTGAAATGCTCCAAACTTTTTAAATATCTGTACTAGGGGCTTGTAGTATTTAAAGCCAAGTCCCCAAAACCCAACCTTCAAAGTTCTTTCCAATTAGGAAGGTGATCAAGAAATGCAAGGTGTGGGTCACTGGGCACACTCACACACTGTCCTTAGAAACAGTCTTGTTGACCATTAACCTTGAGACCAGGAAATATTTTAAGGCATGTGTAGGCTGTGCACACTTACCAGAACTCACTGAGAAAGGCGGGGGCCTCAAGCAGCCTACCTGATGTGGGCTGCCTGATCTGGCTCCCATGGAGGGTAGACCCAACATGACCACAGTGCCTGGAGGGTGTAGTCAGCACTTACCCATCGGGTTTGCAAGCTGGGGAGCTGGGTTTCACTGGGCTTGTTGGAGATGGATGCCCCTGCTTCTCAATGGTGAGTCTGACCAGCTCCTACACCCCACAGAGGAGAAAAGCAGTGAGGCATGAGGACAGTTCCCACAGCAAGGTGGGTCAGCTGCCCGACCCCCACTGCCGAGCCTCACGTTTGGGTCTGTACACTCCCTACGCACCATGAGTGCAAGGAGTCTTTGATTTAGGTCGTCTGCATGACTTCCCCAAATGTCCCCCACCCTCCAAAAATACCTCCAGAGCATGTTGAGAAGTTTCAAATGTATCAAGGTACTTCCTCTTGGAAGGGGGAAATGACAAACCTCGTTGTCTCACAATGACTAGGTTCATCACACCCATGAAATTCCCCTGGTAGAACAGATTCCAGTCAGCCTGTGGGGGAAGAACTCCCCTTAGTTCTCTAAGCTGTTTCCTACTGTGCGGGGCGCTGCCTGCTAACGACCAGGCCTCTGACTTTGGGAAGGGGTTTTGCAAAGTGAACTGGGTACAGGTGTGGCAGCAGCTGGTCTCCTGAGATGACTGGCTGGGATCTTTGTCAATGGACAGAAAGTTAACGGCATACCACCCAGCAGAGAAATGACTTTAAAGAACACTCTTTAAAATAGAAGAGGAGGAGAAGGAGAAAGAGTTGTTATCAGGGTCTACTTGTTTTTCAGTTGGAATGCATTTTCCCCTAGTTTGATGAGTTTTGACAATCACACATACCCCCATAAGAGCCACTCAGAAAACAACATTTCCACCAACCTCTCCAGTCAATCTGCCTGACTCCAAGCACTTTTTAGACTGCTTTTGCCTAGAACTTGGTATAAATGGAACCACACAGTATGTGCTCTTTTGTGTCCATTTTCTTTTTCTGAACAGCTTGGTGGATATCGAACTCACATGCCATACAATTCTGCCTTTAAGAGTGAACAGTTCAGGGGTTTTCAGTCTGTTCAGAGTTGTGCAACCACCCAAACAATCAATGTTAGGGGTTTTCATCACCTCCAAAAGAGGCTGTGCCCATGATTAGTCCTACTCATTTCCTGCTGACCCAGGCAACCCAGCACACTGTCTATTCCATCTTCTTCTGCTTGGCATAACACTACATTTTTGTGTGCACGAGTACTCTGTTCCCCTTCTTCCTGAGTTGTACCCCGTGCACAGATGAACCCTCATTCCGCATCCACTCCCTGGTGAACGGACAGCTCGGCAAGAACTACTTGTGCTGCAGGCAGCGTTCAGGCTCTCAGCAGGAATGTCGGGCTTAGAAAGTTATGCACAGAAGAGGCAGTAGTGGACAAGTGGGTAAGACAGCAACTTGCCCCTAAATCGGACGCAAAGTCTCTCCAAACTCCAAACACCACACACAGGCACCACGACCTATGTGATGAGGCAGAGTTAATATCCTCTCTAGAGCCAAGGTTCTTTCAAGAACACCAAAATTGGAAGAAAAAAATATCAAAGAAGTTCACAAATGTAAACACCAATCGTCAATAATTATTAAAGGCTCTCCAGCTCTGATGGTAATAACACAGAAACCTCTAGACCTGGTGGATGGGAGTCAGTGTTAGACAGCCTTTCTAGAGGATGACCTGTCAGTATGTATCAAGCACCTTAAATGTTTGTATTCTTTTTATATTAGGCTCAAGGAAAATGTCATGGCTGTGTGCAAAAATTAAACCAGAAACGATGGTTATCACAGCATCTATAGAATAGATAAAGTTAGACTACTCCACATTCCATAATTAAATATTCAACACTAGGTACTGATTACATAAATGATGGTAGGTATTTCTTCTGGAATACTAATTTAAAAAAAAATCAATACACAAAGGCAGACCCCATGTAATCAGTCACCTGCTCTGATGCCTGTTCTCAGAGAAACACGGAGAACTGAGATCTCTCTGAACCAAGTACGGGAAGAAGAAAGCAGGTTAGTATTTTCCTGTTGTCACAACTTGGAAGTAAATGAAATCTCACAAACACAGAAGAGAGAGCTCCCCAGCTGGTGATTACAGACAAGACGGAGACGAGAGACCGTGTCTGTCACTAGAAGAGCTGGCAAGGGGGAGGAAGGCTGCAGCCCCTCACCTGGAGGAGGGAGGGAGGGAGGGCTGCTTGTCGTAAAAGGTCGTCGCCAGGCCACACAGAGGAGCACCGTGGCACCAGGGGGAGTCAGAGGCTAGACAACAATGCCCTGGACACCCCACAGTCACGCTCACGCTTTAAGAACAGGGCAAGAGGAACAGAGGGAAGTCTGCGTACTTGTAGCTGCTGACGTAGGAACACATTCCACTAATTCTTCACTGAATCACGAGCGATTATAATTAGAATGTCATCTCTCTGGAGGAGCAGCAGCTGGGTGAACTCGGCTCATGAACGATGGCAAAGGAATGACAGGCACACATGTGTGAGCGTGCGCCCGTGTGCCAAGACGACGTCATGGCTGTGGTGACGGCAGCAGCTCTGCGTTCCACCCGTCTGCTGGCCTGGGCGGGAACAGAGTGACGGGGCAGCTGTCCATAGTCACCACTCAGCTTCCAGCCCGAGACCAGCCAGAAGCCTTCAGTCTCACCTGGTCTTCACCTTCACAGAGAGGTGGACCCTTGAATGTGCACATACGTGGCTGCCATCACAACACCCTCATCTCGTTCAGAGCTCCCCACCTGTGACCTGGTAAGCCCAACTCCTCCCCTGAAGGCAGGTTCCTGAGAGGGACAAAGACTTCTCAGTCCTCCTGTGGTGCAAGCGAGCAGAGACGGAGGGACGGCACCTGACTGTGTGTCCAGAGCCAGTAACCGTGACCCAGGCAACTGCCAGTTCACCGAAACAGTCTTCAAAAGCCAGAGGTATTTGGAAAAGTACCTTCTAAATACCTAAACTTTATTTCTATGTTCATTTTATTCCTACTGAAAATGACCCCAGAGATGCTTCCATCTTAAGAGACTTGAGACAAACCCAAGTCCCGCTCTGGTGCCGAGAGCAGCAGTCCTGTCCTCTCTCATCTCCTCCTGGGCACTGGACAGACTGCCGGGCGAGTGACACGCTGCACAGGGGAAGGACCCTGGGAGGTGCCCACGGGCAACACTGCTGTTGCTGGACTTGCTGCCATGCTGCCCCCACAAAGGTCCTGCAGGACTCGGCCTGTGCTCCTGCCATTCCTGCTCCAGCCCACTGTGCCGCCGTCACTTCTGGCTGTGACTCCCCTGCACGCAGGGACAGTGCCCGGGGAGACGTGAGCCGGTGTCATGACACAGCCCCTTGCACTGGTCAGCTGCCCAAGGGCAAGTTCTCCACTCAAGACACTGATGACCGGCCCCTTCAGAGTTTCCTCAACTGAAGTAGCGTGATGGAATCACAGGGCTGGCCAGCCCCAGGGTGACTGTTATGGTGACAAAAAGGGACCTTCCCTGCCACACTCAAAGTGGGTGAGAGGCAGCAACAGAACAGGGCATCTTCTCTCAGACACAGTAAGAAGAGCAGAGGGCAAAGCAGGGAAGGGCAGAGTGGATGGGGGTTTGCTGCGTGACTCCTGAAGGTGCACACGCAGTCACAAGGCAGCCGGACGAAACCTCAAACATGCCCCCTAAGTGGGATGCCAAAGGGACCCAGAGTAAAGCAGTGCCGGGCAGAGGGCACAACTTGAAAACTGGGCACCTTTGTGTCCAAAGTAGTAAAATCACATAGTTGGGGCAAGACGCTACAACCGGAACACCAAACACTTGCTAAAGAAGCTTGCAGACCATGGAAGACCTTTCGACCTCTGTGACCAGGTGGAGCAGCCAGGATGAGGAAGCCGCGTGGCTTGGACAGGAGGTGGTGCCGCTCCGGCTCCAGGCCTGGACAGACGGGATGGAATGTAGTGAGTGCTTGCTGCATTGCTCAGAGAGCACACTGGGGAGGGGTCAGCAGAGGAAAGAGAGATGCTTCTTTAAGCCACGCCATTACTGGAAAAGATAAAACACGTGGCCCTGGCTGCATGGAGCTGATGTAGAGGTGAGATGGTTTCAGAAGGGCACCCACAGCCGCTAGAGGAGAGCTGCAGAGAACCAGCTGTTCTTTTCCTGCCTCCCTCTCTTCCCTTCTCTCTTCTTCCTCCTCCTCGCAATCCACTGCATCTGGCAATCACTCAAAGACCTGATGAGCAAGATGAATCTAACCACTGAGCCACACAAAGAACTATTTGAAATGACGCAAAATGACAGATAACCTGCAGGTCAAAAACAACTTTGAAACACTTCTTATAATTTTTTTTTTAATCCTCACCCGAGGATATTTTTCTGTTTATCTTCAGACAGAGTGGGAGGGAGGGAGAGGGAGAGAAAGGGAAAGAGAGAGAAACATCGCCATGAGAAGGACATATCGACTGGCTGCCTCCCGCACGAACCCGACCAGGGCCGGCGACTGAACCGCAACTGAGGTACAAAACCTTGACCGGAACCAAACTCGCGACTCTTCAGTCCGTGGGCTGATGCTCTAACCACTGAGAAAAACAGCCAGGGCACCTCTCATAATTTTTAAATAATCATATTGATGGAAGTAGCTGGTGCTGTTATTCTGAGACAGTTATGTGTGTACCGTGGGAAAAAGCAAATAAGCTATTCATTATGTTGCGATTACTGAAAACTGGGTTTTCAGTGTGGGAGGAAGACTGAAGATGGAGGTTTGAAGAGGTTAGGTAAAACCTCCGGTGGTCCTGATGTGCAGTGCAAGTGCCAGTGTGAACCCAAGATATATTTTCTTTTAAATAAACTAAACACGGAGCCAATCAGTTGCAATAAGGAACCATAAGCCCTCAGAGTGTGGTCTCCAAATACCATTTTCCAATAAAAGGAACCAGGGCTCCTTAGAGGAATGTCTGACTCCAGGTCTGTGGTAAGAAATGTACAAGATAACATAGCTCAATAATAAAAAGATAAACACCCAACTAAAAGTTGGACAAAGGATTTCACCCTGGCTGGGTAGCTGAGTTGGTTGGAGTGCCGTCTTATACACCAAAAAGGTGGCAAGTTCGATTTTGACAGGGACACATACCCAGGTTGCGGGTTCAATATCCAGTC